CTTTGTCAAGAACCAACAAAACGTAGTCTTTTAGTATCCAGGTCAGAGAGCAGCTGACAAAACAGTCTCAGGAACAGCCATGAGGCTAAGGAAAATTATTTCCTTATGAAACCAGAATTATAAATAAGGCACCACTATACGCCACATACCTTAAACATTCCTTTTCCTGCATATACTGAGGCAATGAAATAGTCAAAAAGATTTGATTCATGTTTTAACATATTTTGTATGTAGAATATTTTATTGATACTGTTTCATTTTCCTGACCCCTATTATGTTATTATTTTCTAATTTTACTGCATTATGACCACAGAGTATGTTCTACATGAAACCAATTTTTTGTTATTTATTGAGATTTTCTTTGTGAAGAACACTGGAATGGTTTGATTTTTCTCAAACTAGATGTACACGTGTTTTTGTTTTACTTGCTTGAGAATCAGTGTGCTTCTTCAATGTTTAGATCTTGTTGTTGTATTCCAATATGGAAAATTCTTATTTTCTCCTTGGATGTTGCTCGTCTCCCATATCCTACTCTTGCTCTATGTCTCCCTGAGACATGCTGGATGTATGTTGGACCTTCTTGGTCCACCTTCCACCTGTCCAAACCACTCTCTCATCTCTTCCATCTCTTTCCCACTGAACTTCATTCGAGGTGACTTTCTCATATATATCTTCCTGTTTGCTAATTTTCTCTTTGGATGTGTCTAAAACTCTATTTAACGTATCCAGTGAGATCTTAATAGCCACAATTTTCATTTCTGGACCTTTCATGTGCTTCCTTTCAAGTTTTCCTTTTCTTTATTTCCATGTCATGGTGTGTCCAACCTTTTGGCATCTCTGGCCACACTGGAAGAAGAGTTGTCTTGGGCCACACATTAAATACACAAATACTAATGAAAACTGATGAGCAAATAAAAAAAAGGTTTTAAGTAAATTTACAATTTTGTGTTGGGCTGCATTCGTAGCCACCCTGGACCACATGAGACCCACAGGCCGTGGGTTGGACATCCCTGGGATAATCCACGGTGTCTTATTGTTTCATTATGTTTCATTTCTTCTTCCAAATCTCTTCACTCATTTTATTTATTATAGAGAGTCTTTGATTGTGTTTGGTTACAGTTATTTTGGTGCTAATTCTGTTCATTTTTGCTTCTGATGACTCTGCATTGTGGTAGCACTTCTTGTACAGCTTATAACATTCTGTTGTTGTGGCTGTGAATTCCTCTTCAGTGGGTTCAGTTGTTTTTCAGAGAGAAGCCTTTGCAATGAACTGAATTGTGTCTCCTTGCCCACAAAATGCATACACTGAAGCTCTAGCCCCCATTGTAGTTTATTTGTACACAGGGGTTTTAAAGAAGTAATGAGCACTGAATGAGGACATCAGGGTGGAGCCCCAACCCAGTACAACTGGTGTCCTTAAAGAAACACCACAGAGGAAAGGCCCTGTGAGGAGGCAGCAAGACGGAGGCCATCTGCAAACCCAGGAGAGGGGCCTCAGGGGAGAACAGATCTGTCAGCATCTTGATGTTGGACTTCCAGGCTCCAGAACTGTGAGAAGATACATTCCTTTACTTCAGCCCCCCACGCTGTGGTCTTTTGTTATGGTAGCCCCAGTAGACTATTCCAGCTTCCGACCCTTAGACTGCGAAGGTGATCGCACAGAAGTGCTTTTGCATTTGCATCTATCAGATTCCAAGGTGTTTTGAGGCTCTGGACCTATTTTTATGTTAACTTACTGGCTTAAGCAGCAATGTTCAACCCTTTTCCCTGCATGGCACACGTAAACTAATTACTAAAATTCTGTGGCACGCCAAACACTTAGGTATAATTTCAATTCATTCTTACTGGACAGCTGTTGTTGTGTTGCCTATTGTCACTTTTTATTTGATAATTTAAAGGAAAAGAAGTCAGTGCCCTTGACTCAATAGTCAGATATTGCATGTTTTAAAAATTCTTGCCACACAAGTGGTTGAAAATCTCTAGCTTAGAGAGTTCAAGAAAACAGACTTAGGGTTAGCTTTCTAAGCTAATCATGCAAATTCAGACATCTCAGGCTGGTGCCAGTTTCTCCAACAGGATGTCCCTCTTCCAGGCCTGTGTCCGTTCTAAGGCTCAGTAACAGCAAACATCCTTGTTCCTTCCATGGGCCAATGAGGGAAGTTTTCCTACCTTTCCTTGTGAGGGTCTAGGCTTTCTGCAGGGAACCAGCTTCAGCTTCTCTGTCTGGTGAGTCTAAGGACCCATCTCCTGTCCCTGGCTCTGCCTTCTCCTGGGCCCATCCTGGTCCCCCCGGGGCCTTTACCCAGGACGAAATCCCCGCAGGTCCTTGCAACATCAGCTTGCACTTTTGCTTTGGCTTTGGTGTGTTGCTTTGCCTCTGACGTCTGGGAAGTTTGTTATTTCATGTCGTTCATCACTCCAGACACTTGTAATAGAAAGGGAATCTTTTCATATTGTATTTGTCCACCATGTTGACTTTCTAATTGTGCGTACCAGGAGGCGTTGATTTCTTTCTAACACACTAGAAGTAAATTTGTCTTTGTTAGAGTGGGATTATGTGAGTTAGAAGTCAGTAAATCCATCACAATTAATTTTTAAGGGTTACATTGTGGGTAGGAGAATAAATTAATTTTAGAATAGATAACCTTCAATGATGTGATGAAACTATCATCAGGGACCTTATTTCCAGACTTGGTACCAATGTAATACACACATACCCTTGTGGTTTCAGAGACGACAAATGTAAAAAATAGACATCGTTGTAAGTTGAAAAGTAAGAAAAAGTCTTCATCTTTGTGCTTGCATTATCATTCCAAAGTCATTAACATCCTCATTGGCCTTTAATGTACTGCTATGGACTGAACTCTGTCTCCCCAAATTCTTAAACTGATGCCCTATCCCAACGTAATGGAATTTGAAAATAGGGCTTTCAGGGTTTATCAGGGTTAGATGAGCTCATGAGGGTAGGGCCCCCGTGAGGGGATGAGCAGCTCGGTGAGGAGAGAGAGGCTGTTCTCTCTCTGCCACAGGAGGACACGGGAAAAAGGAGGCGCTCTGCAAGCTGGGGGAGGGCTCTCACCAGGGACCACATCAGCCAGTGCCTTGATCCGGGACTTCCCAGCCTCCAGAACCGAGAAGTAAATGCCTGTTGTTGGAGCCAACCAGTCTATGATATTTTGTTACAGCAGCCCGAACAGACAAATATATGCACACAACTGTCCATCCAGCTGAAAATTCATTTTCCTACCATCCTAAGTTTCAGGTTTATGTTATCCCTACATGCTTACCAAATAAGTAATAAGTGATAGTTTGTGATCCCCCAATATTCAGAATACTTAACATGCTGTCAAGGTTCTGAGACCCATTTTTCCTAAACATCTAAAGCTCTCCTGACTCAAATGCACTCTTAATTATTAAAAGGAATTCTGGGTTCTCCCTCTTATTCAGCTATCTGAGGATTAATGCATTCAAGAGCCCAAGAAACTGCACTGCATGCTGGGAGGTGTCAGATGACCTTACCAGTAAGTAACCACCAATGAGCAGCACGTCCTGGGCACACAATGAATGGGTGAAATGTGCCTGCTGTGAGGTCCTTACAGAGTTCCACGTTCTCTTAACAACTTGGTTTGTGGGAGGACGAAGGAGGAGAAGCATACCGCTCTCTCTTATATAGGCATAATGAATTCATGATGAGAAGTCTATTGTATAAAAGGAATATTTCCATGTTTTCTCAGAGCCCTCAATAACTATGACTACAAGAAAGGGAGGGAACCAGGAGACTTTCTGCCTTTCCAGACTGTTCCATTCCAGTTTCGACCTTACCCATAACTCAAGTGGTCCTTAGAAGAGTCCTTCCCTGAAACTTTAAGTTGGCTCATTCTCTTCATTCCCATTTGCAAAGCAAGTGGTTTGGGTATTGCTATCCCCATGCTGTTTAATTTCCTGAAACGATGGCAAAGCAGGTGTCACGCTGTATTTGTGCAGATTTCGTTTAAAAACATTTGTTTGGAGCCTGCCTTCTCCAAGAGTGGCCCTAATCACCAGGAGGGGCATCTTCTGGGGGCTTCTCCAGGGTAGCTTGTTGGCCCCACCCCAAAGCTACCAAATCAGAATGTGCAAGATCCCAGGCGATGCATGTGCACAGTTGAGTCTGAGGAGCACTGGCTTGGAGTGGGGTGCAGTTCACCTGACAGACTTCACCTGCTGCCTCACTAACACCCCAGGAACAAGGTGAAGGCTTTTCCATGAGCCTCACACGGCATTTGAAACTCTATTAACAATTAGGAATCACGTATGAGAAAACCTAATATTTACGTCTATAAATGAATCAGAAGAATTGTTTCCATGTTGACTTAGCAGGAATGCCATCTTGCTCCCCAACACTCACAAACTGGAAGCAAAGAACGGTTTCCTCTCAGGTTAATGGGTTTCCCCTCGTCAAGCTGTCCTTCGATCACGTAATCTAGACTTGCCTCCACCTGTTTGTTTTTTCTATAACTGTTCTTCTTTTTAATAGGGTTATTCGCCCTTCCGATATTAACAGCAATTAGACTCGCCTCACGGTGCGTCATGCCGGCTCAATCTGCGACCGTCAGAGGAGGATGATCGTGGTCTTGTCTCAGTAACAAACCTTGACAACCCAAACAAAGCAGCAGGCAAAATACAGGAGCAGGATTTGCAACACAGGATCGTAGGCGGCAAGAACCTGGCGAATGTGATGGCTGCCCTGCCTGCTCGGGCCACGTGGAAATGGTGGCGTTCACGCTGCCGGCACCGATGACGCGGTACATGGTCTGAAGTTGTATTTTCCAGCCAAGTTTTTAGAGAAGACTCTTTAAAAGCCTCAGAAACATTAACATTCTCTTTCCAATTCTAATCTATTTAATTTTATTGGAAAACATTTACATAGCTCATCAGCCGACTCTCTAGTATTGAGTAATATTTAGCATGCTGTAATCATGAGAAGAGATTTAGATTAAATGCTGTTTTTTATTACTATTCAATCACCATAAGTTGTTCCACTTTTTATCTTTTTAGTCAACAGATTTAAAGGTGGGAAAATATCTTCATTTACAGATACACCTATATTTATCTCCTATTATATTTTCCATTAGTGTCTGCGTGAGATTTATTCCTGGTGATTCCCAACAAAGTAAATGTGCATCTCCTAACACCAGATGCTAATAATAAAGACAAATGCCCCCTCTCTCTTAGAGATGTTACAAGAATAAATTAGATAATATTTACAGGGGGATTTGACCTCACTGGAGATGGTATATAAATGAAATGTGAAAAACAAACCTTTAAAGAACAAAAAATTCCATTCTGTTGTAGCCAGATTGAGTTGACAGGAATCAAATTATGTTCTGAGCAGAGGAAACAGGCCTGCTAACAGCGGTTCCCCTCGCTGTGGACGCAGGCCAAGCACTGACGATGAACTCCAGGTCTGGCCTGCACCTTCGGGCGTCGGTTTGGACATGGTGCGCAATGAACTCGTCCTCCCTTCCCGTGTCTACGTTTATTACACCTGGAATATGCTGGGGCAAACTATCAAAGTCACTTTAAACCACTTTCTACATTTAATAACCTATAAGGACTGTTAATAAAGCAAGCAGACATTTTGACATAGGTGACACATGGACACATCCAGACAAACTCTTTTCACGTGTATATTATCTAGAACCGAAAAGGAGCTTCCCACAGGACAATGGACAAAGAGAGAATCCTGGTGGTCACACAGGGAAAGTCAAAGTCCTCACTTCGAGGTATGGGGAAACTCATTTTTTTGATGGGATTATTCGTGGGGCACAGGAAAGTCACCCAACCCCACCTGTTTTCCAAAAGTCCAGCTACATTGGCCCCAGATTCTACGATTTAAAATTCTTCTTGAGTTAAGAGAAATAGCTGCATGTTCATGGAAAAAGGTAAAATTAAAAACCACAGGATGAGGAGGACATTCAGCAATGTAATGAACCAACCCTGCAGACCTACTCTGCACCAGGCACTATCCTAAGTGATTTTTACCAGAACTGTCTCATTGAATTTCCAGCTCAGCCCTATGACACAGGCACTATTCTCATTCCAATGTTGACAGATGTGCAAACAGGCACAGAGAGGTTAAGAAGCCTGTCCCAGGTTGCACAGGCTACAAGTGGCATCTCCAGACCTTCACCTTTGCCCTCTGACTGCAGAGTCTGTGCTCAGAACCAACAGGTCTTCCGACACGTGGGGGAGTTAGCCCCATGCAATATATTCCTGCGTGGAAATGAGACAAATGATACTTTACAAACTTGGATACAAAGAACAATGTGGAAAAGCTCTAGGTTGTGTTTGATCGATGGTTGGATTTTTCTAGAACAGCCAAGGTTCCAATGTGAGGCAGCCTCCACCGTCCCATTTCAGAGGACGCGTCGACAGCGACATTCAAGTACAATCTTACCGTGCTGAAACTGCTCGCCAGGAACGGGGCACTGGAACTATGCTGAAAGCACAGTTCTCTTGCGGAGCCAACAGCAAATATTTGGCTGGAGATGAGAAATGGGACGCGGAAATGAATTTGGAGATGGAAATATCAGAGGAGCTTGGATGATATACTGCAAGTCGTGGACATCTATCACGTTATTACCATGGATGACTTCTGTAGTAAGAGGCTACTGTGGCTCTTAGAATGTAGAATAGCTTCTTCATCTATGCAATGTTTGAAATAAGAGCTTTAAAATTGTTCTCTAATGCCAGAAACGTATGCTGTCCGTGTTTTTCATTTCATTTTATCCCATAAAACATGCGGTTTTCAGAAAGAGATGAACTGATATCCCAGCTTCACTGCTTCTAACAGAACACTGTAATAAGGTTAAGTACACACCTTTCCATAGCAACAGACGTTGTATACAGACATGAACCGTATACCTCTCCCTTGAAGAAAGCTTTAAGATGATAACAGACAAATTCAAAATAAAGCCTATGATCCCCACACCCTGAAGCCTGCTTTCCCCGAAGAACTCAAGAAAGGATACATTGACAAACAGCTCACCATGGCTTCCCATAGCTCATTTCTTTGCCTTCTTTTTTTTTTTTTTGCTTTAAATGGCACTTCAACCTTAATAGTTACAGAGGTTTCAAGAGAGAGGACTAGCACCACCTGAAAAAAAAAAAGCCAAAAATCCAATACAATCACGGTTTGAGAAGTTCAGCATTGGGCTCATGGAGCAGCGTTGGAGGCAGTGGTTTCTCTGTTTTGAGAGCTGCCGCATTTATTCCTGCCAACCCTTCACTGTTTTATTTAGTGCCTTTCCACTTTACGGACATTATGTGAATGCGGGCAACCTGGCTAGCTGTATTTCTAAAATAGCAGTTTCACATAGGGGAAAAGGTAGCTTTGGAGACGGTATCACCAAATGTTTTCATAAGCCCATATAAAAAAACACAAAGCACATATTTAAAAACAACAACAACAACAAACCATGATACTGGGCCACTGGAAGTACTGGCTACAGCAGGGCCAGCCCGGGCTCCTACACTGAGCTGGGTATGCAAACTATAATTAGATTCCCCAAACACTTGCCTGTGCAGAGTGGATGCCTCCCTTTGCTCACCCCAATTAGGCAGGAGGCGCTGCCTGGGGCTGGAGAGTGATCTGCGCGCTATTGTTTCCGTGTGCGGAGAAGTGAGCGCTCTGTGCAGCTAACGTTGGGCTTTGTTTTGAACATGCTGAACTAGGCTTGGGCGCTATTGATTATGCTTAGGAGAGGCGTTAACGATACGTTGTGAGTATGCGGAGTATTATTTCACCCCGGCTCAGGTTTTAAACAGCATCTTCCTGCAAACAGTCTACTCCAGAGTTTGCGTGTCGAAAAGTGAAACAGATGGTCCAGTTTTATATTTCTCTTCCTTTAGGATTCCTTATGCAGCTCAGGGACTTTGGTCTTCTGGGATCTCAAATTATATTTCAGCCCATTACACGTACATCAGTGTTGATACTAAGATGGTATGGAAGACTTATTCAAAATCCACATGGCCGCAGCCTCTGCAGGTTCTTAGTATGCCATGTGCTGTTCATTTTAATTGAAAATATTCTAAAAGCAAGATTGATGTGTTTTCTATCCCCTTAAAATAGAAACAGGTTCTGGGCTCATAATTGAGCACTCATAAGCCCACTCTCCTTATTAACATGCCCTCTCTAATTTGTGCCTCTGTTTGCACAATATAAATGGCCTTTAACAGCCCTTCATTCATACAATGGTCTCACTAACCCAAAGAAAATTAGTAGCAGGCAAAAGCCTATTTTTACTGACACAGAGACAAAAATGCTAATTACCTTAAAATATTCTCAAGTGTATATCTTTGGCATTCTTCCAGGCAAGGCTCAAAAGTTTTTTTTCCCTTCCTGTTATTTACTAGTTATAGGAGAAGTTGTTTTTGTTTTACATTCAGGCTTATACATAAGTCTCAATTTATATTTATAATTTGAAATCTGTTGTGTCCAGAGTACTGGTGATGGGTGATGTATGGGTTTGTTTTTTCCTTACTCCTGGGTCCTCTGAGAGCATTACCCATTTGTGATTAATTGTGGTTTTGCTGTTTTTGTTAAGGCACTCAGGGACACTTGCAGAAAAAAGTAATGCCTAAAAATTTAAGTCTTTTAAACAAATTAATTACCATAAAATGTTATTTTTTTCCTTCAAATCCCTTTTCTCTGATAATTACATGTATTTGTCCAAGTTTATGCCCTAAGGCACTCCCTTTTGAAATGGTTTTAAAACTGAAACCTCTGGTATACAAAATAATAAAGAAACAAAATTTTTAGCTTCAATTCAAACTGAACCATAAACTAACTATAACTTCAATTGTAATGTTATAACAAGCAATTACACTAAACAAATTCTAACACGTTTAACAAAACAGAATTTAATGCAACTTACTAAATTATGATATCAGGTATGCTGATAATATTTACATAAAAACAATGAGCTTTTTATCATGTATTCAACAAATAGTTATTAAGGATGCATTACTTTCATAGTACTTTGCTAGGGCTGGTTTATAAAAAAATAAATAAGGTAAAAAGGGCTTGTCTTCTTGAGGGAGTGTAAAAATCAAGTTTTGGCTATTTATTTTAGGATATTAACCCCTTATCAGATGTATTGGCAAAGATGTTCTCCCAATCAGTGAGTAGTGTTTTCATTTTGTTGATGGTTCCCTTTGCTGTGCAAAAACTTTTTTCTTTGATATAGTCCCATTTGTTTATTTTTTTCATTTCCCTTGCTCAAAGAGCTATGTCAGAAAAAATATTGCTACGAAACATGTCTGAAATTTTACTGCCTACCTTTTCTTCTAGGACTTTTATGGTTTTGAATTAGCATTTAAGACTTTAATTCCTTTTGAGTTTATTCTTGTATATGATGTAAAAAGATAGTCTAGTTTCATTTTGTTGCACATATCTGTCCAATTTTCCCAACACCATCTATTGGATAGAGTATCTTTAGCCCTTTGTATGCTTTTGCTTCCTTTGTTGTTGGGGACCACTTTCTGTGGCATCGGAAACTGTAGCCCCATGTGAGCAAGGCCTTGCCTTAAGTCTCGACTGAAACACAGGGAATTCCTGCAGGTTGCAGACACAACCTGATACTACCACGGAGGGTTCCTGTGTAAAATCAGTCCTGAAGAATACATTGTATCCTTTGAAGCTTGCTTTGCTTTGTATAGCCCTGTTGATATAAACCAGATGTTTGGGTTCAAAGCACAAGGGATTGAACTCCTGATCTCAGGAACCCTTCCTTAACAGACCCTGACTTGAGGCAGATCTCTGTGTTTCCTCAATTGGTATCTATAGATAATATCTGTTTTCTATAACTATAGCCTTTGGACATTGATTGATGAGCTTTGCTTGCATACCGCAATAAAAGCCATTTGGGAGAAGGGCTTGGGGCATTCTCCACTACAGGGAATCGCCAGTCCCTTCCCTGTTGGAACAACAAGATTGTGTCTGGGATGACTTATTCTCATTTGCAGTGGCCAGGAGAGCTCTGTGGGAGCATCCCATACTTTGTCAAATATTAATTGACTATAAAGGCATGGCTATATTTGTGGGATCTCTATTATGTCCCACTATAATCTATATGTCTGTTTTTTTTATGCCAGTACCATACTGTTTTGATTACTATGGGCTTGTAATGTAGTTTGATATCAGGTAGGATGATTGTTCTTTTTTGTTTCTTAAGATTGCTGTGGCTATCGGGGTCTTTCGTGGTTCCACATAAATTTTTGGAATATTTGTTCTAGTTCTGTGAAATATACCATTGATATCTTGATAGAAATTGTATTGAATTTATAGGTTGCTTTGAGTAGTATGGACATTTTAATGATATCAATTTTTCTTATCCATGAACATGATATATGTTTCCACTTATTTGCATCATCTTCAATTTCTCTCTTTTTTATTTTTACCCTAGGACATGCTCATTGATTCGAGGGAGAGGGGGAGGGAGGGAGGGAGGGAGAGAAACATCAGTGCAAGAGAGAAACCTCTATCAGCTGCACCTCCTCTCCTGTACACACCCCTACGGGGATTGAACCTGCAAGCCAGGCATGTGTCCAAACTGGGAATCAAACCCATGACCCTTTGGTTTATGAGATGATGGTCCAACCAACTGAGCCACACTGGCCAATGTTTCTTCAATTTCTTTCTACAGTGTCTCATAATTTTTTGAGTACAGGTCTTTTACATCCTTGGTTTAATTTATTCCTAGGTGCTTTATTCCTTTTGAAGCAATTGTGAATGAGATTGTTTTCTTAGTTTCCATTTCTGATAGTTCATTATTGGTGTATAAAAATGCAACTTTTTTTTGGATATTTACTTTGACCCAGTGACTCCACCTCTGGAAATTTTTATGAAGAAACCCAAAACACTAATGTGAAAGAATACACGCACCCCTATGTTCACTGCAGTGTTATTTTCCATAGTCAAGTATTTTCAATACTTGGAAGCAGCCCAAGTATCCATCAGCTGTAAAACAGAAGGAAATTTTACCCTTTGCAACAGCACGGATGGACATGGAGAGCATTATGTTAAGTGAAATAAGCTAGTCAGAAAAAAAAATGAGTACCATATGATTTCACTCATGTGTGGAATCTAATGAACTAAATGAACTAACAGGCAAAATAGAGACAGACTCATAGATAGAGAGCAGACACTTGTCAGGAAGGGAGAGTAGGGAGGTAGAGGGGTTAAGAAAAAAAGAGAAAAAAACTCATGGACCTAACGCTAACCCTAATGCCCCCAAAAATCAAGTTTGGAGAAAGTATCCATCAATGGATAAATGGATAAAGAATATACGCACTCACTGGAATATTATTCAGCTATAAAAAGAAGGAAATCTTGCCATTTGTGACAACATGGATGGCCCTTAAGGGCATGATGCTAAGTGAAATAAGTCAGAGAGATAAAGACAAATGCTGTATGAGTTCACTTTTATGTACTATCTAAAACAAGGAAGAAAAGGGAGCTCATGGATATAGACAACAGAATAGTGGTTGCTGGAGGCAGGGGACAGAGGTGAGAGTAGGTAAAACGAGTAAAGGGAGTGGAAAAATACAAACTTCCAGTAATAAAATGAATAAATCATGAGGCTGTAATGTGCAGTTCATAATACTTTGGTGCATATTTGAAAATTGCTAAGGGAGTGGATCTCGGAAGTTTTCATCACAAGAAAAAAACCTGGCTAGCTGGTGATGGATGTCCACTAGATGTACTGTGGTGACTATTTTGCAACATATACACAAATATGAAATCATTATTTGTACATCAGAAACTCATCAGAAACTAGAACCCTCATACCTGGCTGATAGAAATATAAAATGATATAGTCACACTGGATAACAAATTAGCATTTTCCTAAAAAGTTAAATTTATTTAACGTATCATAAACCCAACAATTCACTCCTAGGAACCTACTCAAGAGAAATGAAAACATATGTCCAGACAAAGAGACACATATGAATGTTCATAGCAGTGTTATTCATAACAGCCCAAAACTCAAAACAACGCCAATGCCTGTCATCTGATGAATGGATGAGAAAAATGTGGTATGCCCATGTGATGGAATACTATACAGCAGTTAAAAGGGTCTAAGTACTGACACATGTTACAACATGGATAAATCACAAAAGCATATGATAAATGAAAGAAACCAGTTGCAAAAGACTACATTCGCATGACTCCATCTATAGGAAATGTCCAAAAAGGCAAACTTACAGAGACAGCAACCACACCCACGACTTCTCAGGGCCAGGACTGACTGGCTGCAAATGGGCATGAGGAACTTTTGGCAGGGCGGGGGTGGGGGGGGGGTGGGGGTATGAAAATCTTCTAAAACTGGATTCTAGTGACGGCCGTACAACTGTATGCATTTACTGAAAGTCACTAAGATGCGTACTTACAATGAGTGGATTTTATGGTATGTAAATTTTACTTCAATAAAGCGGTTAAAAAAGAAAACAGTCTCATATATTTGTATAGGAATGGGTTGAAGTAGTCACCTGAGTTTTTCAATGCTGAAATGTAATTCAAACATGTATCACTATCAACAGATGTGAATAATCCTTTTGTTTGCCATGTCCCTTACAATTTTCAAGTTTATTTGTTCTTCACACCAATCCTGTGAGGTAGGGTGAACAAGTACTGTGTAATACATAATAAGCACTTTTAATAAGCACTTTCATTTTTCCTTTTAGCTTTGTTCTGAGGAAGCCTTAAATACTGTATAGATAATATAATTGAAAAATCAAGGCCACCCTGGATAATGTAATCTGAATAAACTGAATGACAAGCACCGTCATTGCCCCAAATCCCCCTGATATTGTTACAAAGACAAGAACCCTCCATTTGCCCAACTACACTAAACACCAGACGAGTTGTTTAACATAATGAGTCTCCCAGCTGGAGACAGGGACGCTGTCAATAGACTTGACTGACAGACCTCACCTACACACTCAGCCTTTGTCCCCCTGCCCCGCTGAAGCTTGCTGTGGTTGCTCACTCTAACGCTTGCATTTACAAATACTGAAGTGCACGTAATGTGATTATACAGCCAACCAGGCACAGTGACTAACCTTGCAGGAGCTAGTATTCCCGGGCAGAAACAAAGCTGCCAGAAAACCAAAAATGGAAACTAGTGTATTAATTTGATTCACAGCAAATCCGACTCTAGTTCTTTCTCTTGAAAGCTCACAAGGAACTTAAACAAATCCTCTCCTCACTTAGTCTGAAACAGAGAGTGACATGTTTAAAGAAATGTGACTTATCAAGTGTCCAATTATGTCATTTGAAAATGCATGTGGCGTATGCACAGATACACTTAAACCAGTTAAAGATCACAGGAACCTCCCTTATTTTGATAATGCATATCCAAGACAGGCCAAACGGGCAGCCCTTCACATCCAGCCCACGATTTAATGCTCTGGGTCTATGAGAAGACCAGCCTCTGGGGTAACCTCTCCCCACCTTCCGCTCAGAGTTGGGTGTGAAAGGGGTTCTCAGAGGTGGAAGGAAGCCAGGCTCTTCTGCACCAACATTTTGGCCTTCCCGTCTCAGCCCCACCGCCGCGAATTCGGCTCCTCCAGATATGCTTATGTGCCTTCCACTTTCCAGAGAAGGCACGGATGCTTTGTGCGCCTTAGTGTGCTCTGTCCCCTGCACGACCCCCGGAAATCCTTTTGCAGGGGACATGTGTTGCTTAAGGATGTTTCCATGACCTCTGACCTAACACAAGCCACGCTTCTTAACTATGACTGACGTTTGAGCAGGACCAGGTTAGTCTAAAGAAATGCAGAAATACTCAACTGATTGCCATCAAGAGTTAATGTTGATGTTTTCAAGTTGGAAGAATTTCATATGAATTTCTACAATGCAATACATGGAAAGCACGTGACTCAGAGACAAGAGAATTGTGTTCTGGGGTGTACCCCTGTAACCTTGCTGATGTTCCGTGACTTCCAGGGCCCCAGTGTTCTCAGCTGAAAAAAGGAAAGTAGGGGTTTTTGCATAAAGTATTCTCTAAGGCCCTAATCATAATCTGACAATCATTTCTTGAGATATTACTGTTATTCTACAAGATAGAACTATTCATCTAAATAATTCATTCAGGTCACATGTATTTTGGCCTAATGTGCCCTCTGGCCTTTGCTGTACTGTTAGGATTAAAAAACGAAACTTAGAATTTGAAACTCAGAGACACAGAATCTATGTGCACTGTTATAAAACGCCACGAAAGTTCAGCTTTAGAGTAAGAATGATACAGACAGGAAACAGAGAGTAACTGAATGATATTTGACAAACACCTTTCGTACACATAGTAGTGAGGGATGTCATCTCAAATGGGGCCTCTTATTTTCTTTCTAATAAGTCCTACAGTACGACACTCGCTTTCACGCTGCCTACAGCCTCGGTGTCCCTCAATGGTGTTTTGGTGGCTCTTGCAAGGGTTCGGAGAACAAAACCAGTTCCTCCCCGGTCCCCTTGGCACCTCTCTTTTCATATATTCTATTTATTTAATATTTAATATTTTGTTTGCAGAAGAGTCCTTGTATAAATACCGTCTGAAAGGCATTGCACTATACAATGTAAAAGACTTTGCTTCAATAGGGCACTTTAAAGAGGTATTCTGTTATTATACATACCACTTCAAATATGTCATCTGACAAGTTGTTCCAGCAAAAACCAAAGATTAGAAAATAATTTTCCATTCTAGTCTTTTCTAAGGCTACAAATGACACGCTATATTTAATGTTCGAGTCCGTGCACAAATCACCAACTACTTTAATAACTGTACAAATATTCCTATTTGACCCAAGGGGTCTCCTAAGTTACAGGATAATCAGAACTCTGGATGAATCGGTTGCTAAATGGGAAAATCCTGTTTAGACAGTTGTGAGAGAAAGGAGAACGGCTAATGAAACAACTTGGATAGTCTTATTATCACAGAGTTGATTGATGTTTGGTGCGATTTCATCTTTGCCAGGGAGAAGTTTGAGAAAAGGAACAATCAGTAACTTAGACGAATCCCCTGTACTTCCCCTTTCGGCCCAACTCATCGGTCTCATTCTACAAATGGCCCTTGGTCTGCTGCTCAGAACAAATTCTCTTGTGTACCATAAGGTAAGGACGTAGGAGTTGGTTTTTAATTTTACTTTCTAAGGACACACGTCCGTGTTGGTTTGCAAGGGTGGAAGTAAAAGACCACGCTGCTTTGAATATCATTGACTTTCTAAATTCACTCAGAGAGCATAACAAAATAGCAAAACCAAAATATAATCTTCAGGTCATTTCCCTCAGGACTTTGAATCTGTTTACCACCCAGACAGGTTCTATGTTACAGAAAGACTTTGTGAAATAAAGGATGAATTATTTCAGCCAAGGGATTTTCTCATTTCAGTTCCCTAACTGCCTGTATTTTCCCCATAAGGATGGATGTAGATTCTCTAAAATGCTTCGGGGACCACTGAGATACAGTGTTGTAAAAATGACCACTGCACTGGAATAGAGTGTAGAGGGGTCCCTTCCCACACAGAGTGCCCACTAGTAAATAACGAGGAGGCGGAGAAGCAGCTGGCCTCACCGTGAAGATCATTGGAGAATGTCCTGGAGAGGCATATGGGATGGAGTCATTTCTCAGCTTTTTTCAACCCCCACGGAGCCGACAGCATGAGATCCTCCGCAGTTTGGGCTCGTGTATCTCCCGAGTCGGACTTCCAGCAGGTAGGTTTAGATCACCACGCAAAGCAGAGTGAGGACGATGTCCTTTATCTTTGATAAAGTGATGCACTTTCTCTTTTTGTTTTCTTCCTGCAAGAGAGCCTCTTTTTATCAAAGCTCCACTCCGGTGAAAAGGCAGGCATTAATAATAATCAACAAGCTCATTCCTGAGGGGGCTGAGGCTTCCACGGCTCTCACTCCCACTCACTTTTGTTGTCGCAGGGAGCCTGATTGGAGCGGGCAGATCTTCCAGAACAGGGTTTGGATGTGACTGTGGGGCCACCGCAGGGGTGTGACGCAAAGCCACTGCAAGCCACTTTTTGCTGTTGCTCTCAACATAGTAATACATATGTATGTACTAATAGGTCCCAACATGTTAATACATATCCATCCCGGGATCTCTGAGTTCTCCCCAGGAAACAGCCAGCACAACCTGGAAAACGACACCAAATGGCATCTTTGCTGCTGAGTTCAAAAGCATGTTAGTTGCTACAGCAGCAGGAGATTTGCAGGAAGACAGGCTCAGAGAAAAAACAAAACAAAACAGAAACAGGAATTGCTGACTATCCCTGACACCATAATTTTTAAGAGTCTTAGAAAGAAACAACTACTTTGCCGGAAGTGTAAAAGCATCCGAGAGCTAGGACAAAATAGGATCCCACGTAACGATAAGGGAAACAGAAAACAGCAAGAATTAACTGCTTTCTGGGCATCAGCTCAGACTTGTGCAGAAAGTTAATTTTGAATATGTTGTATCGCTTTAATCCTAATGGCCCTATTCAAGTTGGTGGCAGAGCTCTGAAGCATTACTTCTCCTTGAATATGAAGTTAGCTGGGCTTCTAAAGATGAGGAGGTGGAGATAAGGGGGAGGAGGAACTGCAGAGGTATCCTAAGCCTGATGCCTAGGATTCCGGTTGACCCCTTTCCTCCTTCCTGTGCTAGCCAGGAACACTAGTCCAGGCAGGGACGCTTCGTGCTCTGCGACTTGCATAACAAAGGCAGGCGGCCACCACGTAGCTCAATTGGCAAGCTGCAGGATTGCCCCAGAGAGACTCTGGCATAGGCCACAGAGGAGGAGAAAGTTCCACAAACAACCCTGGGATCCCTCCACCCAGGTCTTGTTACACCTGGTTTCTCAAGAGCAGATTGCTTCGCCAACCTTAACAATCCCGGAGGAATGCCAGGGCGGGAGGCCGGATTCCGACTCCCTTTGCCGTAATTTATTGAGGGCTTTAAAAGTAGAAAATAAAACTTTGAACTCAACGCATCTGAAGCTTTATGATTCAGGTGTGCTACTTGCCTTCGGGGGCACCAAAGATCACTGAAGTTAAAGTGACACACGCACACAAAATTCTGTGAGCTGCAGAACCGAAAAGCATGTCCAGACGCGATCCGGCTGGTTCTCCTACCACTTGAACTTGGCAGGAGGTGCAGAAGTCCTGGTCCTGCCTCATACTTTTCTGATGGGCAGGATTTCCCCTACTTACAGCCCTCTAATCCTCACTGCTCCCCAGCTTTCCAGGGTGTAGAAGAAACTGAGTTTGTGGAGAAGGAGGCAGAAAGAAGAGGGAGAAGGATAAGAAAAAGAAATCAAAATGGCTCATGAGGAAAAACACAGCTGACCCTTGGTTCCTTGGGGGACCAGTTTCAGGCCTCCACGGACAGCAAAAGTCGAGGGTGCTCAGGCCCATTGTATCAAATAGATACACATAACCCATGCACGTCCTCCTGTATGCTTTAAATCAGGTCTAGAACTCTTGCAATAATACCTAACACAATGTAAACACCACGTAAATAGTTGTGCTGTACTGCTTAGGGCATAATGACACGAAAAAAGTCTGTGCATCTTCAGTAACGAAGCAACCATCGGAGGCCTAAAGACATGTCTGCAACAATAACATCCCCCACCCCCCACACAAATATTTTCAATCTGAGGTTGGCTGAATCCTCGGATGAGGCACCCTCAGATGGGGAGGTTTGGCGGGCGGACTGTACTGGGTCAAGGGTGAAGTCAATGCTAACTTACAAAGCATTGAAACTTGCAGTTTAAATAGCTAGGCAGGCAGTCTAGTCTGCAGGACTTGGCCCCAACGGCGTGGCCTGCTGAGCCCTTTCCCTCACCTTTCTAGGCAGATGTTAACAGCAACCCTGGCAACCCCCTTCAGCTGGGCCAGGACGCAGTGGGTTCACTTTTGTGGAAGTGCTTAGCACGGTGCCTTGTCAGGGTAGGTGACGAAGTAAATTCTGAAACTAAGAACCCACTGTTATTCAACAGAAATCAATTTAGGGACATTTCACGTTAGATGCAGCTCTTTCAGTGACGGAGAACACCAGGCCCAAAAGGAAAGGAGCAATTTTTGGCCTAGTTCAAGGGGAGGCGGACTTCTCTCTCTCTTGTCCTGGGAAGTGAAAGTTTCCAGGCTTTTCCAGAGGCTCACCTTTCCCCTCACCCTGGGGAGGGCCTGGGGCAGGAGCTGGTTTCTTTGATTCCTTCCAGCTGGTTCCGGCTACTGAGCCCTTTCCTTAGGAAGAAGGGGCAACTCTCAGAGACGCCTACCCACCCCACGTGTCTGTAGGAGAGTGTAACTGCGTGTTAGTGTGACAGCGTGTGTGTGAGTGTGTCTTGTGTGGGTTTGTGAGTGTCTGTGTGTGTATTGGGGTGGGCAGGGGCGGGGCTGGGAAATTACCTACTTCCTTAGAAGTCCTTACTGGCATGCAGACGGTCAGTGCACACTATGGAGGCCCTGGGCTGGGCCGGGCCGGGCCGGGCCGGGCTGGGCCCAAGCGGGAGTTCTCAACAGGCGGGTCCGAGCACCGCCCAGCCCTGCTCTACAAATACCCTGGGCAGGCCCACAGAACTGGTTTTGCCTCCCGGGCCGGGGCGCGGTGACCGAGCGGGAGTGCAGAGGGGCAGGCGCTGGAGCCCCGCCTCCCCTGGCCTCGGCCCCGCCCCCCGAAGGCCCCGCCCCGCCCCCTCGCGGCGGGCTCCAGGCCGGAGGAAGCGTCTGGAACGCAGGCCCTGGTTCCTGAGCCGGCTACCCTAGGGTGCGCGGTGTGTAAACAGCTTTGCTGTCAATCAAGTCGCGTCCGTGAGTTTCAGGAGTCCCACGGTGGATTCTTCGGTAAAGCAGAGTCCTTTGGCCAGGAGCTTACTCACCCCTCATTTCTATCTTGGTTAATTTCTGGGCTCTGTAACCTCTTGCAGCCGAGTTTCTCCCTTTTCACCGCGCCTTTTGGATGATGCTTTCCGCCCGTCACCCTACAGTGCCCGCTCGCTGGGACTGCTGAGACGGATCACGTGGTCAGGAGGTGGACCTCACCAGCTTTTAACACAAGGACTTTTAACCCAACGCTGGTGGAGGCTGCGGAGCAGAAAGGACGCGAGCCTCCGCACACTCTCCGGCCTCCCAGACGGAGGGCGGGTCCCTGCGAGCCGCCATTGATTCTTGCAGAGCTGCGGGTCCTCACCCCAGGTGTCGCCCCGTATTCCTCCTGGAGGAGACAGCTATATTTCACCGGGGATGAAGTGATTTATGGGCACAATTTAAGTAGTGTTTAGGAGCTCTGAGGAATGCAAAATGCAGCAGCACTTGACGGTACGGTGCACTTAGGGGAAAATGAGGAATGCGCCGAATGTTTTCTTTTCCTTCTTTTAAAGCGAGTTGAACTCCACTTCGGTGACGAAACTGTTTAGCCATGTGCAAATGTGTAATTCTGCCTCCTGACGGAGCCAGCCATGACGGCTGGAGGCAGGGCTGAGTCACCCGGGGATTTTCTGAGCCACAGACTTCCCCCTGCATTGAGAACACACTGCGAGGATAAAATGACGACTACTTTGTCCGCCTTCAGTGCTTTTCTCTATCTGCCTCTTTTAGATAAATACACACTTCTAGGGAGAGAGGGGCACGTGTTTTCATTTTCGCCCAGTGGAGATAGTTTGGATTTTAAACAGAATGGAGTGGTAATGATAAGGAAATATTCTTGTAAAAGTTATTTCTATTGTTGAAGAAATTCAATGTTCTGGTTTGGAAATCTTTGCAAAAAATAAAGTTGTCAAATATTTTTTAAAAATTAGCCCCAAAGTCCATGGTTGCACCTTCAGTTTAATTACATTTCTAGAGATACACTTAATGGAAAATTTTTATTTCCTTATATGAAATGATGTTTCAGGCCATTATATGTTCCAGGCCTATAAAAGTTAAAAAAATCTCCAGAGGATTGTAACAGCCAACATCTCTCCTCTTCAGCCCATTACAGGTGAAGCTGAAGTCCACCTCCCCGCCCCCACTGTCCCCTTCCTAATCGCATTCCCCTTCCTCGCGTTCCAGAGACAGCATACACCCTGCACTTGGCGTTTATCCCCGTGCATTAAAATATTCTCCCTACATATGTATATACACATAAACAACACACTATATTGAGTTAGTGTGCATGTCTTAAATCTTTGTATAAGCAGTATGAACTGCGCCCACATTTCTGCAGTTTGCGGCTGTATCACTCCGCATGGTATTTGTGTGATATACTCGCCTCCATTACCATAGCTCTCTGCTTCCTTCTTTTCCCCGCTGCTTGGATGTCCATCCTCCTGTTGACAGATGTAGGTTGTTTCTAGTTTTTCTCAGTTGTAAACAATGTTTCTGTGAACCTTCTTGTATATAGTTCCTTGCGTACAGATGAAGACTTTCACCAAGTAGTGGAAATGTTTCAGGATTGTAATAAGTCTGTGATGTTATTAAGTGCCACATAATTGTTCTCCAGAGTCACGGCTTTGCAGTTTCACTGGAGAAATATAAGAAAATACAGATTGTAGGTGAGAAAGGAAAAATTATTCCCCATCTCTTGAGCCAAACGAACCCACTTGTCACTTGAAACATTTTTTTTTGATATATAGTCCTCCAAGTTTATTCTTCTGTGATTGTGTGTGTGTGTGTGTGTGTGTGTGTGTGTGTAGTTTAGGAAGAGAACAGCCGGGATCTAAGGTGTGCACACCAACTTCACTCAGTACAAATCGTTGTCTTCATCATCATCACCCACTTAGACACCTGTCCCTCACGCCAGTCTGTATGAGGGTTTCTGTAGTTTTACATCCTCATCAACACTTCATGTTGTCAGACGACAAACTCCCGCTAATCTGATGGGGTGTGAAATGGTGTCTTGTTTTCATTTGCATTTTCCTGATTATTTAGGAGGTTGAATTTGTATGACCATTCTTCCCCCTCCTCCCTCTTAGTGAAATGCCTGTTCTTTTCTTTTACCCATTTAAAAAAAGTTGTTTGTTTCTCAAGCCAGGCAGTGAAAGACAAATACCATATGATCTCAGCTTTAACAGGAACCTAAACAACAAAACAAAGGAACAAGCAAAATGTAACCAAAGACACTGAAATAGGGGACAGACTGACAGTGACCAGAGAGGAGAGAAGAGGGAATTTCAGGGGAGAATAGGAAGGGTTTACAGGAACAAATATAAAGGACACATGGACAAAAACTAGGGGGAGGGTTGGGAGGGCGGGCTGGAATGGGAGTAAAAGGGAGAAAACTGTACTTGAACAATGATTAAAATAAAATTTAGAAAAAAGTTGTTTGTTTCTCTTAAAAGCTTTTCTCTTTAAGGTAGAAACTGGCAGGACAGATTCCTACTGTAACCTCTAGTTACTCGTGGCTCTGCATTGCAGATAAATGGCCCATGGAGAATGAAGCTGCAAATAGAGGAGTGCTTTCCTAAAAGCGATTATCTGGAAATTTGGATTTCAGAGGTAGAAATGAGGCATACAGCTTCATGCTGAATAGCAAAATATACCGATACTTATAGAATTTCCCAAGATAAGTAATAGAAATAGCAGCAGTGCTACGTGTAAGTGAGAGAGATGAGTTGAATTCCGTGCCCTATTTCCCACCTGTCCTGTTTCCCAGTGCTGAGATTTAAGTTATGAGGATGGTTGTAGGAAGGAGTTCCAAGTACTTCTCCTGCCTTTGTACCTGTCCTTGAGACAGTGAGTGGGCTTCAGTCATTAGTGCTTCAAGTCACTCCATTTCACCAGGGCTAAGCACGGAAAATCAATAGTGGATCATTTAATAATGCTCCAAAGACTTCAAAAGAGCCTGTTAAGAGAGGTTTGCACCAAAATAAAGCAACTTCAGAGTGAGGTATTCTGTAGTTGGTGTTTTTCTCTGACTTAAAGAGAACTGGTTGTTGCTCTGCACCCCCATTGCTAGAATGGATGTGGGCCTAGACTGTTCACCCAGACTTTTCAGACAGGACAGAAGATAAGGTGTATTAGCTTATTCCTGTGGCGGTATGAGAAAATTTGAGACAAAAATAAAGTATGATTAATGAGAAACCACTTCTCAGCACACAAATGTTAAGATTTGTACTTTAAAGTACAAATCACTTTACAGTGATTTATAGCATTTTCTGTTTCTTATCTAAATTACTATGGAAAACAGAACTATTCTTATAGATAGGGTAAAGTGTACTCTTTCCTACACTGTCTCTCTTTATCTTCAAGTCTTGGATGCTATTTCTAAGATTGCAAATGTTAAGATTTGGAAATAGAAGCTATTGTGTTTCATTGCTATTGGTTCCATCCAGACAATAAATTTCCTTTAAAAATACCTTTATATTGTACCTTGATTGGAGGGGGGTGTATAGTTTCATAAAAAATAATATAATTGTATATTTAGAATATGTGCATTTTTACAATATATAAATTATACCTCAATAAAAAATGAGAATGGGGGGAAATGACATTTCAGAATCACCTTTCTGGTTGGAGTGGTAGAGATTATATCAACTGGTGGTCCTCAAAGCATTCTTGGGACCCTCCTGGAGTCAGTGAAGGGTCTTTGGGACTGGCCCAAGATGTCAGGTCTGGGGGTCTTGGTGTCTGGATGGAAATCTTCGCCATCCCTGTGAGAAGAGACAGAAGCGTGGGGATTGCATTTTTAACTACCATACACTTAACAATAAAAACCAGGAGCAGATTTTCCTACTGCTGTTTTACCCCTGGCCAGCTCGAATTGGAAGGGATGCCATTACATCCCACTTTCTCTTGGCTCTGGCCAAGGTGAGGGATGCCAGACTATCTGGAAAACTGTGGGAAGAGAAGATGTAGGAAGTGATCACATTTGAACTGTTATTCCAGTTCTCCTTGTGTCCGATCCCTTGCCACAGCGAGAAACAGAGAACAAGTAGGTAAGAGTAGGCGAGTGGCTTGCAGAGTTCTACACCTCATCAATCTTCCCCTCTCCCCTCTCCTCTCCCCTCCTTCTCCCCCTTCTCCTCCTCCCCTGCTCTTCAGGATCACAGCAGAATGCAGTGGGCGGAGGAACCTCCTCGGCCTGAGACTTGCTGAATTGGAAACACCCCGAGGGGACTCTCACCATTTGCGGGTGTTCATCCACATATTTGCACACCAACGTGTGGGAGGCCCCGCAGTCTAAGGTACTGTTTTGCCTTCAGAAAGTGACTTTATTGGTCAGATTATTCTTTTTTAAAAAAAATATTTTATTTATTTATTTTTAGAGAGGGGAAGGGAGAGGGAAAGAGAGGAAGAGAAACATCAGTGTGTGGCTGCCTCTCGCGGTGCTGCCCATTGGGGACCTGGCCAGCAACCCAGGCATGTGCCCTAGCTAGGAATTGAACCAGTGACCTGTTGGTTCATAGTTCGGTGCTCAATCCACTGAGCCACACCAGCCAGGGCCAATTATTTTATTTGTAAATAATTTAGGGAAAGAAGACTCTTCTAAAATATATATGCTATAATCTCTGTAAAAAGTGTAAAAATCTTTAGAGTCACGTAATCCATTTTTTCACTGCAGTATCAATCTTTGCTTTTGCAAATTAAATTCGTATTCTCGCTCAGCAAAGCTCTGCAGTTAGAACGCTAATGCCAATACCAGCACCTGAAGACGAACCGGCATCTAGTCACCCTCTGTTCATCTTACCTCCCACGTACTCAGGCTTTATCTGTCCTGTTGTGCTTTCTAATGTGTTGAGGGCGCGCACGTTTCCTGTGTTGCTTGTTTGTGTGCAGTCGTTCTTGGATTGAATAGCTCATCACTTACATTCTGTTCTTCTGGTTTGTTTGTTTCGTTTTGTCCTGTTTCACGGTGTAGAAAAGCCATGCGAAGGTACGTTGCCATCTGCTGTACCTGTTTTCAATTCCAGCCTCCCCCCTCCCCCCCATCAAAATAGTTATTATTCTGAAATCGACCACTATCTCTCCTATTCTTATTTTTATATTTTTCCTCATATACTTGCTCGTGAACAACATTTTATATTGATTCATATTTTAAAGTGTGCATTTAGAGTCACATAATGTGCCTATGTATCGCAACGTTGTT